TTTGGCTGTCCATTTTTAAAAATACCCCTTTTATGTATAAAATGACTAAATTACCCTTCTTTTAATAAAAGATATCACAAATATATAAGGAAATATAATAAAATTAGGTACACAAAATACAAAATATTTTTTGGCGGGAAAAGTGATCCCGCAATTTTTCCCGCCAAAACACTTGTAAAAACTTGTAAAACCTTTAAAATACCTTGTAAAATTTTCCCGTAAAATTTTTTCTCGCCAAAAAATTTTTTTTGCGGGAAAAGTGATTCCGCAATTTTTTGACGTTAAATTTTTGGCGGGAAAAATTTACAAGGTATTTTAAAGGTTTTTTACAGGGTATTTATAAGGTTTTACAATGTATTTTAAAAGGTTTTACAACGTATTTATAAAGGTATTTATAAGATATTATAAAATTTTACAAGCTATTTTATAAGGTTTTATAAGTTATAAGGTTTTACAAGTTTTTTATAAGGTTTTACAAGTTATAAATACCTTATAAGTACCTTGTAAAACCTTTTAAAATACATTGTAAAACCTTACAAAACACTTGTAAATACTCCGTAAAACCTTTAAAATATCTTGTAAATTTTTCCCGCCAAAAATTTTTCCGCCAAAAAAATTTCGCCGAAAAAATTGCGGAATCACTTTTCCCGCAAAAAAAAATTTTTGGCGTGAAAATTTTTTGTCGGGAAAAATTTTTACGGAAAAATTTTACAAGGTATTTTAAAGGTTTTTACAAGTGTTTTGGTGGGAAAATTGCGGGATCACTTTTCCCGCTAAAAAATATTTTGTATTTTGTGGACCTAATTTTGTTTCAAATAAGGGTAAAATGGTAAAAAAATAAAATAAAAGAGGGCAAACTTAAAAATGGACTCTCAAAAGGGGCATTTTTGAAAAGGGGTATTGAAAAAGAGGTATTTTTAACAATTTCTCTATATAAACAAGTCAAAAACTAACCGCGCCTAGGCATCCCGTCCATAGGTTGTCCTTAAGCTTTGGTGTTCAAAGTTCGGCATATTTTCACGTTATATAGATTTAACACTTAAACTCATTTTTAAAAATAATAGTGATTTTAACTTTAAAATTTTTAAACTTTAACACTTAAAGAAAATAATTTTTTTAACTAAAACCATGTTAATTTCACTAAAAAATTTTAAAAATTAATTGAAGTGTTAAATTTTAAACACATCGAAAACTAACCGCGCTTAGGTATCCCGTGTTTAGTTGGTCCGTAAGCTTAAATGTTTAAATCTATATCACGTGAAAAAACATGCCGAGCTCCAGGATGTGCCTTTAGTAACCACTTGACTCTGCCTTCTCCACCGGAGTTCGACTCTACTAAATTGTGTTACCCTGCGTATTAGGGATTGGTTATGGATCGAGCCTTGTCGATCCAAAGATGTAAAAAAAAAAAAAAAAAAAAAAACATGCCGAGCTCGACACAAAAATATATTAATGTAACTACGAAATTCAGAATTTACATTGGGCGACTGTAAATTTGGATACGGACATGTTTTACTTATTGGTGTCGTAAATTCCATATCCAATTATAAATACTTGGGCTCAAGCCCAATAACTCTATTTCGTCATCTTCCAAATTGTTAGGGCACAAGATCAAAGTTCAATAGCTAAAGAAAAAAAGAAGAAGCGATTTTGTTCTCACACAGTCTTCTTCACTCCCTCTACCTTGAAAATCTTCACTTCTTCAGCTAGCTGCTGTATACTGCGAGGTAATTTGGAGGGTCTTCTAATATATCGATTTAAACTCGCAATTTTCTATCTTGCAGAGATTTTGTTGTGCCCTTAAAGTGTTTGATAGAATGCCTCTAAGACACCCTTGTGGCTTAACTCATCTCTGTCCCTTCAGTTTTCGCTGACTTTTTGTGTTCATCGCAGTGAACCAACTCTTAATTCTACTTTAGAGGACATGGGTAAAGCTTCTCGAGACAAAAGGGTATGCCTTGATTGAAATTTTTTTATATGGTTCTTAGAGCTTAAAGTAAAAGATGCGCATTTCTCAGAACTATACTCGTGAGTTTTAACGGTGCGTTGACTAATTTTTTGCAGGATATATATTATCGTAAAGCTAAAGAAGAAGGATGGCGTGCGAGAAGTGCCTTTAAGCTTCTTCAGATTGATGAAGAATTCAATATTTTTGAAGGTGATCTCTTGAATCCTTTATCTTTTGTCTCATATGAACACTCATCGACAGACTCAAAAGCCTAATCTCACGGGACATTAGTCCAAAACCTGTTTAATTGAATAAAATGCTATACTTTTGACCAATGAATTTGTAGCTGATAGACATAAATACATGGTACAAACAATAAACTTATAGGCTCTGTCCTCATTATATGCAGGCGTGAAGAGGGTTGTAGATTTATGTGCTGCACCTGGTAGCTGGAGTCAGGTATGGTGATCCTAAGTTGTTATTATTCACATTGGGCATAATGTAAATCGGCTTAGTCAGTTAGTAGATATCTCACGTGTGTACCGCCGACCTTTTAGCATAGAAGAAAGAAGAAACTGTTTAGAAAGTCTAAAGCTGGAACTAGAGCTATTTTTTAGATTTTCAGGGTATATTTCATAACTGTGCCCAACTTTTTGTATAGGATTATATAGTTGAGTTGCAATCTCAGTTAGCTAACCGACAACTTAGCTTGGTTAGTGTAGAATGGGGGGAGTTAAATAGAGGAAAACAAAAGTTGATATTGATTGGGAAATTGAATTGAGAGAGCATGGGATGCTGTAGAATTAATCTTTTTTTGGTTGGGTTTTTACTAATTCGTTGCCTGCTCCTTGGTTCTCAGTGGATAAATTAAAGAGAAACACGTTCTGAATCTTATCAGTGCATTTCATTTGTAGGTCTTGAGTCGTCAATTATATCTTCCTGCAAAGTCCTCAGCTGAGTCAAAGTAAGTTTCTCTTCAACATCGTAGTTGTTTAATTCTGCTAGTTTAGTAATCCACTTCTTGACAAAGTTGAAACACTATGCAGAGAAGGAGGTCTTCCTCTTATAGTAGCCATAGATTTGCAGCCTATGGCTCCGATTGAAGGTGTCATCCAGGTCCAAGGGGACATAACTAATGCTCGGACTGCTGAAGTGGTGAAATTTCCTTGTCTCCTATCTCATAGATTTATCTGCATCTCTTTCTTCCTCCTTGATTATGCTTCGAGTTTGTGTTTGTTTCCATGACTTACCTTTTTTGGGAGTTTTTTCAAGGTCATTAGACACTTCGACGGCTGCAAAGCGGACCTGGTTGTCTGTGATGGTGCACCAGATGGTAAAACAATGGATACGGTTTCTGGTTGTCATTCAATATTTACAGTATGCTATAAAAATAATGCCTTTTACAATTTGGTTTACAGTTACTGGTTTGCATGACATGGATGAATTTGTCCAGTCCCAACTCATACTAGCGGTGAGTTTCTTATATCTATCTGTATACATGATCAGTGTGTCATGTTTGAACTAAATTTAGCACTAACCTGAAGCATATGTTTCATGAATAATGACAAATAACAAACAATCCGTTTTTCTTCAGGGTTTAACGATTGTAACCCATATTCTTAAAGAAGGTGGAAAATTTATTGCAAAGATATTCCGCGGAAAAGATACAAGTCTCTTGTACTGTCAAGTAAGTTTAGGTGTTGTGCTCATGAAATTACCTGTTGCTTTTACTGATATATTCACCTCCTTTTATTTGTAGTTGAAGTTGTTTTTCCCAACCGTAACTTTTGCGAAACCGAAAAGCAGCCGCAATTCGAGTATAGGTAAAAGAATAGAACTTTCACATGTGCAAATATGATTTACTTACTCAAGGTTTAATCATCAAAGACGTAAATGTTGCTTTTTAAAAGAGATTCTGATTGCATTTTTCTCCACTCTGTTTCTATAGAGGCTTTTGCAGTCTGCGAGAATTACTCTCCGCCAGAAGGATTTAACCCGAGAGATCTGCATCGTCTCTTGGAGAAAGTTGGAAGCCCTTCAGGTGGAAGTGATCTCGGTAAAAATCTCTTAGCTTCAGCTTCAAAATTCTGAAGCTCTTCTAGTTAGACACAACTAACTTATGCATTGCTGAGTAGTACACTTTGAATATACTCTTTCTCAACCTAACTCTCACCTAAAAACGCTCTCTTCATGTGAAGTTAACCTTTTGGGCAAGACAAAGAAATCTTCTTTAATATTACGTCAGGCTTCAAAAAGAGAATATTTTACCCTTTTTTTTTTAGTGTTCTTGAGATTTTCTATTTTCTTTTCTTGATACTCTGCAGATTGCAGTAGTGGTTGGCTTGAAGGACCCAACAAAGTTTATATACCATTCTTGGCATGTGGTGACTTAACCGGTTATGACTCAGACCGGTCTTACCCTCTCCCTAAAGAAGCAGATGGATCATCATACCAGAGTTTGGACCCGATTCAACCTCCCATCGCACCGCCTTATAAACGAGCACTTGAACTCAAGAAAGCTTCAGCACAAAGCTTCAACTCTTGAAGGTGATACCAAGAAAGAAAAAGAAACAAACTTTTCATTGGATTCTTTAAAAGGCTGTAGTAATAATGTTCAGGGACCTACAATTTCTATAACGCTTAATGTTTGCTATGATGAGTTTTTATGTTTTAAAAACTTTACTATAGATTTAAATTAAATATTATTACTTATATTTTCTCTGCAAGGAAGAAATCAAATATTGGGTCAAAAAAGAGAAGCTTTCTCTGTCTTATGGTATGGTCCTTTGATTTCGACCCTTCTTTTTGAATTCTAAACTGGCCCACTTCGTTTTTCGATTCTGTAAAAATATAGTAATTGTTAAGAGGCAATAATATTATTTATGAAGATATCACGAAATTCATCGATTATGCTTCATGAAATTCGAAAGCTGGACAACTTGGAAAAGAAAGAAAAGTAAACTGATATGAACGTCATAACATCTAATTTATGTTGAAACAATAACAATCAAAATGTCCTATATAATTGAGCCATAAATAATTATGTACTGCATTGATTAATTTCTTTTGTCGAGTATAGTTTTGCAACAATTAGAAAACATTGGGTTATAGTTTGTAACGAAACTTAAACAAGAAAAAGGGTGAGGAATTATATAACTTTTAGTAGTCACTTGCTAAATGAATAATTGAATCGACAACATAAAACTGTAATCAACTGATCAGATCACCTATGCAATTCTCAATTTTTTCAACTCTTTTTACATTACAAACAAAATAAAAATCGTTTAGCAAGACCAGGTCGAGATCGAGTTTGATCTCGACAAAGAAGAACAAGAGTTTAAGAACTCGATGCAGTCCTCAATGGCTTCTGCACGGTGAGACTCTGATTCGTTTAGAGACTTTGACTTCATCAAATAAATAGACGAGGAAGAGTAAGAGGATGAACAAGACAGAGACGAAGACGAGGAAAGGTTTCTCGAAGATGACGGCGTCGTTTTGGTGTTATTACTCTTCCTCCCCAATGATATATAACGAAACGTTTTGCTAACTCTGGCTCCAATACGCCGGAGTAATCTCCTCGCTGCCGGCGGGTCACTGACGCTGAAACTGAAAATTCCAACAACGACCCTCCTCCGACCATGCCGTGATGATGAGCTGAGACCGGTGTGTGTTGGGAAGACCAGTTCGTCGTTTGCTTCTGGGTCCGGACTAAAACTTACTCTTTTGGATGTTCTTCGAGACATATTCTTGTCTGAAACTTTATCCAGAGAGAGAAAGAGAAACAATTGGAGACGTACGTGAGGGGTTTTGAAGAGTATTTATGGGGGCAAGTGTGTTGAGGAATTATAATTTTTAGGGAGGAAATATTAAGAAAGGAAAATAGAAAATTGGAAGAAGTTACTTGTTTATATGCACAAACTACACGTAACCAATTAATATGAAATATGAAATGGTTTCCAATATCTAGATTTGTTTTAATTGTTTCTTGATTTTTTTCCATGATATAGCTTGTGGAATTTCTACGAAGGTGATGCAATTTTTTAAATCAAAATAAAAACAGATTGATTCTCTTCTTGTCACTGTTGTGAGCTTTGTTTTTTAGGTGAAATATTAGGGGTCCTACCCCAATGTTTCCCATTCATTATATTTTATGTGTACACACATAGGCATATATATGTCTTCTTTTTTGATTTATATATATATGTTTGATTATGTCAAACAAGAAAATTATGAATGAGAAGTTTGAATAAACAGAGAATTATCATTAGCACATACAAAAAGTTCAACTTCGATGTAGTAACAGTTAAACAATACTATTCTAACCAATTGAAATAAAGTTCGTCTCAATTATTTGTTTTGTAAATTTCATTTGAAGTACATTAATCTCAATGTTATAGTGTGAAAGAAAGGCAGAAATCTGAAAGAGATGACTCCGGACTCCCTGTCCCCTGAGATCTTGTCCAATAACACTTGTCACACCTACTTCCACTACTTCCACAGTGAAATAGAACAATTGAATATTTCAAGAGTCCATACTTTTTGTGTAACTCGTCATCTTTGGGCCGAAGGAACAAAGAAAACTTAGCCCGATTCGGGTCCTTTAATAATACTATGGGCCCTTATTAGCCATTTAGTGTAATGGAATTTTGCATCATCATGTCTTGAGATTTTCTATTAAAAAAGTCTAAAACAATAAAATAAGCCATCAGTAATATTGAAAGCAATCATGTTGTCATTGAGTTAAATTATGTAAGATTTTGAATTCGAAGAACACACTACGTTTATGTGTTGTGTTCTTAAGAAAGATGAGAATCCATAAATTATTGGTCATGAGAAATTAAGTTAGATCTTTCACAAGCAATGATGCATATGGCCATATGAGACAGCCAAGGAGTTTGTATGTTGTGTTGTATCATATAAGACAAGATGCTTATAATTATGAGAGGCGAATATTCAATGGAATAGATTTCAGATTCCACGTTTCTATTTTTGTCCCTTTTTTTCTGTTGTATTTATAAGCAATATAAAAATAATAAATATAAGGTTGTCTTGGCGTATTTATTTGAGTTTTATGTTATTTCGATCTACAAGTAAATAGATAATTCGAAGTAATCAGTGCGGCTAATGATATGATACGTAACGAAAACTATTGACCAAAATAATAACAAAGTCAAATTTTTGTCAGGAGTACGTTATTGTGATTGTTAAAATCTACTACTCCCTCTCTTCCCTTCAATTTGATGTTTTGGGTTTTGCACATAAATTAAGAAAAAATAATTTTTAGATTATTTAATTATTTAGTTGTTTGTTTAATAATTTTAATTTCACTTCTCTCCTCTTCCTATTGGTTACAATTAAAAAAGATAATGATATTATTATAAAACATCAAACTTTATGAAACAAGAAAAAATCTCAAAACATCACTATTAGGAACAGAGGGAGTAGTAGTTAATATTATTATCCACCTTTCATTCAATTTTAATTTTTCTTGTTTTTTCGATTCTTTCATCAAAACGATCTCGTGCTATTAAAAAGCTGTACAAGTTATTACCATCGTGCATAAACCATTATAACAACAACGATTTTTCAATAATTTTTAGTAGTATGGTCGTTATATTACCAACCGGGGTTTTTTTTTTTTTTTTTTGAGATATAAAAAGTAAATAATTTCAATAGATTTCGAGATAAAATGATTTTTGGATTTGGAGATATAAAATATATAGACATAAAAAACAGACAACACAAGAGATCAAATTGAAGCATATGCTGAAAAAAGTGTAATATGATGCTTATCTGTCTCTGCCTCACAAAGAGGATATACCTTTTTATTTACTCTTTCGTCTTCTTCAGATTCTCTCTGACGTTGCTGTTTTTTAAACGACACCCAAATCTTCAACACAAATTATTAATTTAAGCTTTTTTTTTTTTTTGTCAAATACTAAAAGCCATGACCCTTTCTTCTATAAATCTCTCTGTATCTCCTCGTTTGCTTCCTAGCACGACCATCATCATCAACACTTGTCCTTCTTCCTCTGCTGCAACCACTTGTTCTCCCAGGTGTTCTTTTGTTCATTCCCCTGTTTCATTCGGTCTTTCGTCTCAACGGAGATTACCCATTAGCTTGATTCGCAAGAAAAGCAAGCTCCGCTTCTGTGGAGAGATTACAAGGGAGGCTGTTTCTGTTTCTGGGTCCAACGATATGACTATTACTCAAGTTAGGGAAGATGACGAATCGGAGATTGAAGCTCCGCTTCTCGATCCTGAGTCGCTCTCAAAGCCTAGGAGAATCGCTCTCTTTGTTGAGCCTTCACCGTTTGCGTAAGTCCTCTCTGTTCTTCTTCAGAGTTTTTTTTTTTTTTTGCCTGTTTTGTGTTCGACGAAATGTCTCTGTGAAAGGAATTGTACTTTTTTTTTTCTTGGTTGACTTTCCTGTAATGTTTACATTTTTATGGGGAGATACTCGCTGATGTATGAATTTGTACTCTACGCCAATTTTTGGGAGTACTAAATTCTACAACTTTACTACTTTAGCAATTATGTAGATCGTTAAAACCAATTTCATTCAGGATTTTGAGTCAAAGTTTCAGATTTTAAATGAATTTAGAATATCCCATGATTCTCGGAATCACCGGTTCATTGATTAGAAGCTTTCTTATGTCATTTTATTGAAGTGATGATTCTGTCTTTCATTTTGCAGCTATGTCTCCGGATATAAAAACAGATTCCAGAATTTCATTAGGTATCTGCGTGAAATGGGAGACGAGGTTTGTTCTTTTCTTCTGAAATAAAGTATCTACTTTTTCAACTTAAGTACAGTGTTAGTGAGCTAATAAGACCTAAGTAACTGTTTCCAGAATTAGAATTACTTGAAAAGTGAAAACTTTTCTTTTTTAAACCGGATTTACCAGTTTTGCTTCATAGGTTATAGTCGTGACGACACATGAAGGTGTTCCTGAAGAGTTTTATGGAGCCAAAGTCATTGGATCAAGAAGGTAGAAACATTTAGTTTACTCATTAAAAAAAACTATATGGATGTTCTCAATTTGGTAATATAGCTAATTTATCCTTCTGTTTTGCAGCTTCCCTTGCCCTTATTACCAAAAGGTTCCACTCTCGCTTGCGCTTAGTCCAAGAATCATCTCTGAAATTGCACGGTTTAAGCCTGACATAATACACGCTTCGTCTCCCGGGATAATGGTAAATCCCTCGAGAATTCACATTAGCAAAACAGTGAACTTGAGAGAATCTAGAACTTGACTTTTTGCTAATTGTTCGCTGCTAATTTTTTTAGGTCTTTGGTGCTCTGGCAATAGCAAAAATGCTCTCTGTACCAATAGTAATGTCTTACCACACACACGTCCCTGTGTAAGTACCTTTATTTGCCTCATTTGACATTGTTGTTGGAATTTTTTTTTGTCTAAGATTAAGCTTGTGTTGGTTTGCAGATACATCCCAAGATACACTTTTAGTTGGTTGGTAAAACCAATGTGGTCTATAATAAGTATGTAAAACCCGCTTTTCAAATGTCAAAATTTCCTTCATTTTTTCTGGTTATTGTCATGTAATATAAAACTAAACTTGAATAAGCTTTTATCAGGATTCCTTCACAGAGCGGCTGATCTTACATTAGTTCCTTCTGCTGCCATTGGAAAAGATCTTATAGCAGCTGGTGCAACTGCAGGTGACGAAAGATAAACATTACATTTTTATACAAACTCTATGATTGTTTAAAACTAACATTTTCTACTTCTTTTTCATATATTGAAGCTAATCAACTTCGACTTTGGAATAAGGGTGTCGATTCAGAAAGCTTCAATCCCCGTTTCCGTTCTCAAGAAATGCGTATAAGACTGAGGCAAGAATAGAATATACTGTTGTTTATACGCATTAAGAACAATGATACTTTCCATGCTAATCTTGATGTTGGATGCTTTGTAATTAACAGTAATGGTGAACCAGAAAAGCCACTAGTGATCCATGTAGGTCGTATCGGCGTAGAAAAAAGTTTGGAGCTTCTAAAGAGGTTAGATTTTTGTATAAACTGGACTCAATTCTTTTAAGTGGTGTATCGAAATCTGAAATTGAGAAATTTGTGTGCAGTGTAATGGACAAATTACCTGAAGCTCGGATTGCTTTCATTGGAGATGGACCATACAAGTACTAATTTTGTTAAAGATTGGTCATAATGTTATCTGAAGATTTCTAGTCAACAACATTTTAATTTTGTTTATCTGTTTCGTTTTCTTAAAGAGAGGATCTTGAGAAGTTGTTTACCGGAATGCCAGCGGTTTTCACGGGAATGTTGCAAGGCGATGAACTCTCACAAGCTTACGCAAGTGGAGATGTGTTTGTGATGCCATCAGAGTCAGAGACACTTGGCCTTGTGGTTCTTGAAGCAATGGCTTCAGGACTTCCTGTAGTTGCGGCCCGTGCCGGTGGAATCCCTGATATAATCCCTGAAGACCAGGTCAGTGAAAACTATCTGAATTGGAATTCAATTAACAGTCAAATTAAATTGATGAGCATATAAACCAAACTGAAAATGGTTAATAACCCATTTGGGCCAATTTTCTTAAAGCAAACTGAAACCAAACCCAAACTTTATTCAGCCAAACTGTATGCACAAAATCAAGATCTTTCATTGATTGTTCTTATGGGCCAACCAAACCAACCAAAGTACTCTAGATGATATTGAGCTTGCGGCTTTCTGATTCTGATGTTTTCAGGAGGGAAAAACTGGGTTTTTGTTCAACCCTGGAGATGTCGAAGACTGCGTGACAAAGCTGAGAACTTTACTGCACGACCGTGAAACAAGAGAGATCATTGGAAAAGCGGCAAGAGAAGAAACAGAGAAGTATGATTGGAGAGCAGCAACGACAAAGATACGCAATGAACAATACAGTGCAGCGATTTGGTTCTGGAGGAAAAAGAAAGTTCATGTTTTGGGACCAATCAATTGGTTGATTAAACGACTGTTTCCAGTGCCGGAAGTTAACGTGTAGAAAAAGTAATGAACAAGATTTGGTTTGGAATGTGAAGATTTGATAGTTGATGGTTTCGTTTACTGAAAATCTTCTGTTTGGTTTATGGTGTTTATCTTATACTTGGATTGCTTGTATATGTTCATGGAAAGGTTGACGTTGTAAATTGTAAGATATGTGTATCTATGTCTAATAGGGGGTTTAAAATCTGGTTTGGA